TTTTGAGTTATGGGTTTAAAAATGCTTACAAAATACAAATAATCGGTTGTACTAGAAAAGCTATACCTTCCATTTATTTCGTGATGATAGCCAAGTTTCACTAGGTCGAATACTACACTGTTTCTCCAGATACCAGTTATCTATAAAATCAAGACTATTTAGAAATCCATTTGGAATAAATCATTATGTTTTCCAATACTACAAGCGGGTTGTGACATGCGTTACTAACTTTGGTTTTTTTCTAGAGTACGGACACTTCGGTAGTCCTTATGACGGAGGGTATATGACCTGACTTATTTCAGGACAGACTGACAAAAAGTGTTAAGCAAATAATTCAGGTTATATATAAGTTAATCGGCAAGCCCAAGAGATAAATACAGTTGCATGCAGTGTGTTTCAACTCGATAGCGAAATAAATTTGATCTCGTTAAGTGTACAAATGATTTGCATGATAACCAAGACACCCCTCACCCCCCCCCCAGAAAAAACAAATCAAAGAACTACAAGCCTGTGGTGTTTGTATGAACTAATTATTCTTTTGTAATCAGAAGGGGATTTGTGGAGATTTCAGCATTTTTTAAAGTTGAAATCATGAGTCAATTGAAGCTAGACCACCATGGAAAACCTGGTACTGGTAAGTCCTGGGTTCGAATCTCGCGAGTGCGGGATCGTGGATGCTCACTGCTGAGGAGTCACATAATAGGACGAAACAGCCGTCCAGTGCTTCCAGGTTTTCCATGGTGGTCTAGCTTCAATTGACTCGTGATTTCAACTTTGAAAGATTCTTTTGTACTTAATTTCGAATTCTAAATACAATACACTCGTTTGTGCTTACCTAGTTGTCTTTGGTCTAAATTCATAGTTCGTAATAATAATTCAAATACTTCTAATTATCACAAAGCTTCAAGGTTAATTATTTTGATAATTCATTTTTGGAAGCAAATTTACTTAGCACTCAGTTAAGACATCAGTGGGTGAGACTATTATTTTATGGTCGACCTTTTAGTGACACCAAAGTGACCTTCAGAATGTCCACTTGTTAACGAGGTCTAAATAATGATCATAAATCAGTGTGAGGAATAAGAACTATGGTTTACAGTTAACGGCTAGGAATTACATTTGAGGTTTTCATCAGGAATTGATATCGACTAAAATGCTAGATTGATGACTAAATTTCACCTATTATTCTAAATCTGATTGGTTCGTCCACAAATCATGGTCTCGCTATTAAGCTATTCTGTACAGGTTAGTGTACTGATACAACAGAATCCACCATGTGTTGATGTGTAGTAGTGGATGCAAACGTGATTGGTCACTGAATGTGGACAAACATGCATTCAGCTTGCTGAATATGAAATGTGATTCCCCTTCCTCTCATTGATTTTACTCTGGATTCATTAAAGTTGACTGCTTGTAATTGTATGTTAAGTAGTGTCTGGCGGTACTTTGGTTCTCTATTCTTGGTCATGAATCTTGTATCTGGTCTGTGTGTAGAGTCGTTCGAATATTCAGTTTAGTGGTATTATAAACTCTACCATCCAGGTCAGTCTCATTGTTATATTATTGTGTTAGTGTGATTATACCTCAGGGAAAGATATTTTGTTTTATCCATTAGATCACAAGTTGTGGAGAAATTGACGTTGCTTGCAAAGCTTAGAAAAATAGAGATAACTATTCCGTCATGGGAAAGCAGTTGGATGTTCAATATCTAGATTAATAAGCGATGACTTCACAAGAGGAACTTGGACTAAATGAACCTCAAAATAATGGAAACCTTGCTTTTGCTAAGTTGTTAATTACTTAGGTTGGATTCATTAGTATGAACGATTCCCAATGTTTGGTTCTATAAAAACGTGAAAATCACGATAAAATACAAAGTCAGTGTATAGGTGAATCTTCTGAACTCTAGGTGGGAAGCTACAAGATAACTATCGTAAAGATATATTAGCGGAAGGTATTATGGGTAAACTGTTGATAATTTCTGAGATAAAAGAAATGGCTGACTCGAGTCTGTATAGCGTCACGTTCAACGAATGTATAGCCACCAAACTAGTTGCCGTCTGTGACGCTCCTGCTTGTTCGGATATTAGATAAACGATGAATCGCAACGGGAGAACAGGTTGCGATAGGTTTCTGGTGATTGGTCGTCTCATTGAAAGAAGGACAACATTTCCAGATGGCAAATGTACATTGAAAACTGATTACAGTTTTCTTCGACGGTCAACCTAATTACCATAAAGGATGTTTCAATTTTGAGACATTTCCAATTAATGTATTCAACGTTCTCTTTAGATCCAATGCACATGATATACTGGTGTGATGAAACTAATCACTCTATGGCTAGATTTCTCTCACAGAAGACTTGGAGACAAAAAACTATTATCACGGGCATAAATAAATTTGCCTCTCATTGTGTTGAGAGTACTCCTTCAGACTGTGGACGTAAATGTCGAGCATTAGACTTCATTTCCATCTGAAAACCAACGGAATATCAATTGTTCCTGCTTTAATTAGGTTCCATGGTTCTTAAAATCTCCTTACCTCTGTACTTAATTGTCAAACAAATACGATTAGGTATATATAGATTAGCGTATTCTAAATTATACAGCAGTACAACAGATTCAGTTAAGCTGGATGATGTGCTAGTCGTATACGGTAAACCTGGGTTAATTATTGATATAGAGGAAACGGATTGATTAGATTTAGAGTTCTCACTGACATGCTAGATTATTTTGCGAAACCGTTTCCTTCTAGTGACATAGGTTTAATCATATGTTCTTATAGTTAGTCATGAGCACACATGGACTTCTATTAGTGACGTACGCTGTAATTGTACTTTTGTGAGGTGTTAATAATATAGTGACAGTTCTGTTGTTACACACATTTATGTCAATATATTTTTGTATTCCTTACTCACGTTGCTATTTAGAACTAATATGTAACTTTTAAATATCATTAAGTGTACTACTAAGCAGTTTATAGTTATCGATGGGCTAAGTAAGAAGCAGGAACTAATTACAGCAAGCAAGTTGCTCGTAGGAAAACTTTGTGAATATGCAGCTGAACAGTGCTCAACCGGGTGGCAATCGGTCAGACATTAGGCGTTAGATTATCCACTACCGTGATGAGTTACATGTACAGATATTCCATGCAGACAATTAATTAGCCGGCTACCACGTCAATAGTTTGACGGATAGAAACAGAGAACACAGAAGCCCAAAAAGTAAGTACAGTAATCCTAGTAAAATTTTGCAGGGAGGTATTGAAATAGAACCAGGGTTTTGATATAACTTCATTTACATGAACGTGGCTGAGACCCAGACTGGATTTAGAGGCATGTTTTATTTATGTTTATAAATAAGTTCTACACAAGTAGGAGCATTGCCGTCAACGCAGCTGAGTAAGTCACATTTGAAATTTATTCTGTTTTAGATTTTCGGAACTAAATACTGTTCTACATCAAATGTCATCAGTAATATCAGACTTTAGTGTCCAAGTTATGCAGCTCATGTTTCAGTTCAAGTTTGCCAGAGTAACCGCAAACGTTGGATGCATGTCTTCATCAAGAATACACGAGAGACAAATTTGTAAGTTTACTAAATTTATTGAATTATTACTAAATATTTGAGATGGCCATAGTAATGTGAGTAATGGATAATATCCCAGAAAGTTCTCTGCGCTATATTGTCATGTCATGTAACCTGAAGCGGCCAACCACTTTACACTGCTTGGCACGTCAAAAGTGCAAGTCTAGTAGAAGCATACTAAGTGGGGAGTTCTTTTCGTTTCATTCTTTAGCATCCCGGTTTTGATCGCTCACTGTAACAAGAGAAGACTGCAAAATACTGACATCGCAACGTATAGATAAACTCCACCAGTGTCGGAAGATAATATGGAATTGACGTGAAATGACATCTTTTGATTGCTGTCCTGTAAGTGCAGAGTTCATTGTCGACGAGAATCGCCGTAAGTTTCAACCAACCTTGTCAGTTGGTAAAAGAAGGCAGTTTAACACTACTGTAAAGATTGGTCTTCATTGAACATCAAGATGCAGAGGACAGTTATTGCGATTCTGTATAGTAACAATAAACTCCCAATAGGGCATCAGCTCTTAAAACTGTATTTTAACCATATTTTTAAAATAAACTGTTACCTAGCTATGCTTTGCTTTCTCATTTACGTATGCTAAATTGAGATAAGTAGGGAGAGCGTGTATGATTTCATATGGTGTTGACAATTAAAACACTTAAACATAACGTATTACTAGTGTCTGCTTACTGCAAATCTGTTTGCAGATCTTCGTTAGTGACAGTATGACTGCGCTTACGGCGTATGATGAGCATCCGCTCGTCGTTAATCTATATTGAACTTTGGGTTTATTATCAGTAAATAAATATCCCTAATCAGATATAACTCCTTAAATCCAGTCAACTTTATCTAAACGTTTATTTGGTAATCGAGGAACGGAGCAAATATAGGAGACATTCGAGCTAAGAGAATATAATCTTGCTTGGATAGAGACGACAGTCAGGAGCAAACTTACGCGGGAATGAGGTAACTTATCGATTCAATCTCAGAGCATAAGTACTGAAGGGTTCTCTGGTTTTTGATACGACAGAGCCGTCCTCCTATTATGTTTCCTTTCATTAGTCCGCTTGGACATAATCTTACTGTGAATCAGTGACATTACACGGACCACGGTTGGTGAACGGATTAGGTGGGCTTGAATCTGGGACTTGATTACTGAGAATAAAATACCCTAACCATTGATCAGTCAGTCAGTTACAACGTAGAACTTCGTACGTACATCAGTTTGAGTTGCCATACTAACCATGACAGCGATGCTGCCTCCCCACAAGGAGGGGTGGGGTTAGAAAATGTCGACCCTAAAAATGCAAACCTCACCTTATCCCACGGATTTCCGTCTCCGGCGGTAAGGTCCTTTGAAGAACGGAGCTAACAAGTCAAAAATCCCGCACAATAAGGCCGTGTGTGACCGGCCTCAAGCAGTTGTCCCTTGGACACTGCGGTCACGCTCTCAGGTCGTTAAGACCAACACTAACCATTGATACTGAACATGCAAATCTAAGTACAAGCATGGAATGAACTCGTGGGAAATATGCGCAAAAAAACAACACGCAAGATAACGAGGTGAAGCGAGACTATTTACTCGCCACTACGACTGCAATATCAGAGTCGCCAAATCGAAACGACCACCACACAGCTGCCACATGTAGCTTTCTAGTGACCCCTCAACTTGCCTGTCCGAATTTTCCGGAAGCCTTACCACGGAGCCTGGTCACACACAAGATTTAGTCTGTCCAGATGTATCGAAATACGTGTGACTGAGATAAGACCCCGCGGTAGGACGGAGCCATATCGCATACTGCCGCTATTTCCGTGCACAGTATTACTGTAAGCCTGTGCGGCATAAATTATGTTGGAGAACGCGTTGGCACACGTACAACCTGCTGGTGCCGGTATATGACGGACACGATTGAGTCCATAACTTACCAACTGAGTACTAAAACCAAAAGTCATGGCCATCGGTTGGTGTTGATGCTGCTGTATACTGAGAGACGCTACTAACCTCTAGTAGTCGAAAGGTTTATATCACTAACAGATCCAAGTGACGCGCTGAACTGTTTCTGGATTAAAGCTAGGGTTTAAATGCAGTTTACAGTTACAGGTAAAATAAAATACACTACGAACCTAGTAATAAAATAAAGACTGCTTGCTTAACGACAATATATTTAACTAAACGTTGCATACAAGCGATCTTTACAATTTGAGCAGAATCATCTACAATTGTTTAGGATTCATTGTCAACACTCTTCAGTCAATCAGTAGGGACAGGAGAAAGCACGATGATTCGAGTATACACCTGCCTGGTTTTGGAGATCAATTCGACGAAGTACTACAAGAGACACTTTAAGATTTTAGTGTCAAAATGAAAGGCATCGGGTAGTTTACAAAAAGCTGGGATTGGTCTTCGAATATATTACTTGTCACTTAACGACAGCAACTAATGAGCTTGAGTAGCTCCCACCCCACCACCAGCCGCCATTGCTGCCATCAGCGCATGGTATGTGTGGTTGCTAGGAAGATGGTGACCGCCTATATGTTGAGCTGCGGACAGTTGCTGTGCTTGTAGCAGATGAGGCTGAGGGATTGCTGGGTAATGCTGTAACAATTGTTGTGGCTGGCAATTCGGTTGAGACATAATATGAGTCTGCTGTAATTGCTGAGAGGTGGTTGAGGAGTCGGATTGATTTGACTGATTTGCCACGCTGGCACCTAGTGGATGAGGATTCGGTTGGCCAACAATGGGTGATAAACCAGAAGCAATGTGATTAACTCCTGGTGTCGCTATCATCGCAGATGCCCCTGGGTAAAACCCAGGAGAATTCTGTTGAGGAGCAAACATTAGATTGTGGTGATATGGAGATTGGAGATTTGCATATGAAGGGATTTGGATGGAGTGGGATTGATCTTGAAAGTGTTGAGAGAATATTTGTTGAGATTGGGAGGTTTGTTGAGGTGTAGTTGTTTGGGTGATTTGATCTGGTTGTCCAACAGGGATTTGTAGATGTGCAGGTTGCATCTGCATGATGGTATGAGTTGGACATATTTGCTGATTTGGTTGTGATACGTGAACACCACTCAACATCAAACCAGAACTAACAGCATTAGGTGGACCAGGAAGGAACTGCAGTCCTACAGGAGGATGACTGGAAACTAAGAAAGGGAACGTGCCGTTTGGTAACTGGTATACTGTTTGCGACTGGAAGGTGGGAATAGACATAGTTGACTGTTGGACGGCATAGGATGTGCCGTGAGTTACCGAAGAAGGGGAATCGTTTGAACGTTGGCGTGTGAAGTTCACGGAAGACGAAGGACAAACTGGAAGGCGACCAGTAGAGTTATGACCTGTAATCACCTGAGGAGCAGTAATAGTCTGCCCCAATGTAACGTTCTGTCCTAACTGATGCATCATATTACTACCGTGAGTGACATAGCTTTGCTGATTGACAGACGGGGGCAAGGCACTGCCTCGGACGTGCTGAGCAGTTGTGCCAGGTCCACTGGAACAAACTGGAGTAGGTAGGAGTTGCTGAATATGTGTCTGGTGACCATAGGAGTAAGGTGCATACATATGCTGACCTGCAGCAATAAAAGTGGCTTGTGCGGGCAATTGAGAAGCTTGAGAGATAACGTTTACAGTCGATACGTAATGTGGGATAGTCATGTTTAGACTAGGTAAACTGGGTTGAATATTAGGAGGCATAGAAGCAACAGAATGGGAAGTGTAAGACAAACCCATAGGCTGGAACTCAGGAGCGTTGGGGTCAAGTGTTGATTTTTTGACACGCTCTTCAGTACTGCTTGGCTTACTAACAGACGACACAGGTACATCCATAGCATTAGTTTTTACAACAGGTGCTGACGTGCACACGCAAGCAGCTGTAGACACTTTAGTAGGTTGATCGTGGCACAGTTTGACTTTATCGACTTGAGTGCTGATTCTAGATACTCCATTAACTTGTGGACCAACGTCTGACTTTAGTGCATCCCCAACAGATATGCTGACACGAACAGCTTCGGTGTGATTGGGCTTACTTGACTGAATACATACCTGGGACAGCTGATTGCCAAGGCAATTGACTGGAGTTTCTGCCTGAGCCAGACTTGGTCGAGAATTGCTTTTTGTGTTCCGCACTGAATTTTGGACTGTCCCATTGCGTCTAACAGCACTATACTTTTCCTCCTCATTTTCCATCCCAATATCTTCATTGTCTATAAGACTAATACATGAAGAGTTTTCTGTGATGTCTTGCGCCAGTTTTGCACATCGCGCCTCGGTTTCAGAGAAATTTGGAGCAGACCTGTCAACAGGTGTCCTGGAAAATAAGATGAAGCTTAAGCCCAACTTACGTATACTCTCGAAGATCGTCATTGTAGGTGGAAACGACAGAAAACATTTTTTCATTCGTCTCAAACATTTCCATCGCAGAGAAGCTTCCCTGATCAAGTAAACAGTCTTTAACAACATCAGACGATGCAAAAAATGGTACCAGCTCCTTGTCTTCCACTACGTTATTAGTAGAACAGTCTTTAGCGATCTCACCATCCGTTTTTATATCATCTGAAAGAGTTTATAATTACGTTATGTACTCACCGACTAGGCAGTCTAATCTCTTAACGTTGGATATCTGAACCATTTTAATTTCTGTCCAGAGAATGGTTCTGTCAGCCACGTTTTTACGGTTACCTTTGTCACTCTTTTGTGCAACTTGAGCGTATGTTATACCGAGATCAGCCTGCCAATATATTAAAATTAGCACTTACGAAAGGAGAGACAGCCTTTATCACACCGCGAACATGATCGCCTTCAATAGTAGTGATTTCCCCCACATTTCCCTACACATGAATGTGATAAGTTATGCTTACAATAACGTGGCGTCCAAGAATATACGTTAGTCTAGGGTTCGCGTATATACCCAAGTTGTCATTTGAAGCATTCTAAAGAAGCTAATAACCTGGAAAATATCGCCGTACCTGCGCATGCGACACACGCAAAGGATTAATAGGGGGCATCGACATACGCTGATTACGAGCTCTACAACATTCTGTTGTCGGAGAAAATGAACTTACCTCAAAGACTTCGCCTTACCACGTTGTGACTGACCTGACATTTGAAGTTGATGAGAAAAGTATATGTATTGATTAGTATATTTGGGGAACAAACAAAAACGCCGTTTGCTGATGATGAATGGACAGATATCCACGAAGTCTCAGTAAGAGCAAAGAACCTCACTATCGAGTGTTTACCGCTCTAAGCGAACTTAAACAAGTGGTTCAACATCCAATCAACATTTCCAATAATAAACGTTTGTGAGACTAGTTTATTATTATTATTATCGAATATTGTTTAGTAACTTTATGACGTTACTAATGAAACGTTGCTTTAAGCTACGGATCAAAATTCTTGTCCACTCGGTATATTAAATTCTAGGGTAACTGGAATTCAATTTTCAGATTTTCATTTTAATGCCAGGAGGTGAACAGCTTGTGTTAATTCTTTTCTAGAAAGCTTATTTGGTGATCTAGCAGTCTTTACAATGCGTCTATCGAAATTGTAGTTACCAATTTTCCTGGAAGTAGGTTCCAAGGTTTGATTACTGGTTGAAAAACCTGTATAATAATAGTATTTTGTTTATTCTTGGTTTTTTAGACAGCATATCGTGTTGTATGAGATTCCGTGACCTTACTTAAGTATATTGTTTTTTTTATGGTAAGCTGAGAACCAGTGATCGTCAACAGACTGTCATGAGTTCTCCTTTCCAGTTCTTGACATGTGCTATTCTTTCGTTTGACACGTGCTTCCAGTCCCACACTCATTGTGTGCATCACACTTCTTTTTTCTTCCTCCCTTTGGGATTCCGAGTTAGGCCCTGACTCATAGTGTAGTTTTGTGAGTCCCGCGATATGCATCCTATCCACCTCCAGCGTCTTACCCTAATTTCTTTCTCAGCTGGGATTTCGTTTGTTCCTTCACACAGTAGGTTGTTGTTGATGATATTGGACCAGCGGCTCTGAAGTATCTTGCACAGACATTTGTGCATAACCACCTGTAGATTGTTGATGATGGTTTTAGCAGTGGATTCTGAAATTATTTCTGAAGTGTCGACATGTGTTGTAATAGTAATGATAACAATAATAACAACAGTAACAATGATAATGAGAAGATGCGTGAACAAGATGAGGCTAAGCTAAGAAAATTACCATCATTCAACTTACGTCACCAGATCAGAAAAATGATTACCAGCCATCTGGGCCAGAGGTTGACCAAGCTAAAAGGAATGCTTTAGCATGCCTCTGCTGGACACAAAGTTCTGGCTTTTTCATCCAAATAGCTATTGCTCTAGTCTCTCGAAGGATTCCCAGTCTGACAGATTATGGCGTATTGTTGCTAACGTGATATATTATTTTGAATGATTGTATCATTTTGGGTGTTTGGTTTGTTTGTACTCAACGAGCTAAATTCCAGTGTGTTTAGTAAATTTTTCGAATAGTGATATATTGAAATAAAATTGATTTTTATCATGATGTGACGTGTCGTGAGAAGACTGCTGAAAATTAGGAATGTTTGGGAGTTCTGTTGTCATAATTCCAGATTTGCTAGCAATGTTGATTCACCAATTCTCAGGGTGTTGAACCTAAGAGTTTCACTGCCACTTATACTATTTAGGTGTTCATTCGGAGAAAACAGATAGTGAATAATGGAAAGGATTGTTCCACAACATGTATTAGAGGTTTTGCAATTCGAGAAATGAATTGTTGTTGATAATTATGTTGACAAGTACAACTATCGTGTAATGGGACGAACATTGTAGAAACGTAACTTTTGAGACCATCACACGAAGGCTTGTTACTTGTATTTATATTGTAGGATTAGTAGACTCCGGGACTAGTGAATTTCGAAATCCTCCGATCTCTAAGCTTTCGTTTAATCCATAAACCATTATAATACACGGTCATTTCAAATTTACTAACTGTTAATAAATTTTTCTCAGAAGGGGATTTTGTAGAGATTTTAGTAATTTTATGGTTGAAATCATGAGTCAATTGAAGCTAGACCACCATGGAAAATCTGGAATCACTGGACGGCCGTTTTGTCATATTGTGAGACTCCCCAGCAGTTAGCACCCACGATCCCACCTTACATGTAATATGTGATTTATATTTTAACGTTATTTAAGAGCTTCAACCAAGTAGCCTGAAAGGCTTGCACCTGAACCTACCATACATTTCAAAAGCTTTAGTCATCCACAATTTTAAACTAGAGCTACGTGTATGGAAACAGTATTCTAGGATGATCATTTACTGTAGTCGTAGTTCGAAAGTATGCTAAAATTATGTTTGCGAAGGCATTTCTACTTAATATCATTTTTTATCATCAGTTTTACATACTTTTATTCTCAGTACTAAGGTTAATCACATTCACAGTCGTTTTGTCTACCCTCATGATGAAATATTACCTATTTTTATAGACTCCTTCTATGAGTAAATAGTTAGGATTGTGTAGTCAATACCTGCAGGGAAAGTCCTCATCATTGACTGCCTGCAGAGTGTGTTGTTTATGACACTAATAATACGGAAAACAAATATCTGTTATTGAAACCGATTTTTCGAGTAAGAACAATCCACTTTGATGGGGATGGAGAAACGTGATCCTAAACCAGTAATGGTCGTCGGCTCAAAGACCCCGGGCGAAAAAAAATGTATTGACATTTTCTGGGTAAACGGCTAATATGGACTTGTATCTCGCGCAGTGTCTGGTGATGCAAATAGATACATGGGTTACGTCATTTATTGCCATTGCTTGCAACCAGTCAGAAAATAGACAAAGATTGTGGCAAACTCGTGTTCAGTCAGAATGACACAAATATCCAAATCACACCATGCAGGTAATGAAGAGTAAAATAGACTAACTATATAAACGCCCATCAAAACATGGATGTTTTTTGAGCATCTATTCTCAGAGTCAGACAATAACAAAAATTTTTAAGAGAATAGACATGCATGCTAATGATTTCAATGCTCTGGATAAAAACTAGTGAATCACGTTATGATGAGCTGAATATCAGAAGCATGGTAATATTTAACACCAATGAACTGCATGAAATCAGAATGTAAGTATGATGAAAGTCCGTGAGACCGAAAGAGAATAGTGATGTAAGTTATTATAATGATAAAAGGAGAAATTTTGGCACGAAAGTTACAAGAATAATGCCAATATTTGGGCCAGATAAATATGGTCGTTGCAACATATCTATCTGGTCAACGTACTTTTCTTTCCTTTGTTGTCGTTGTTGTTGACATTTTGTGTCGAGCATTGTTTGTTGCAGATAGCCTATTTGAGGCTTTCTCTGTCAAGGATTTAGAGGATTTCCTCCGCTTTTTATTTTCATTGCCCTCTAAAGATTCTGAGTTCAATCTATCGTCAACATCGGAGTTATATTCACCTGCTTTTTCTACTGTTACTGTTTACTGTCTTTCCAGATGATTTTCAAAGAACCCTGGTGAAAATTCTGTAACGGATGTCTCACTCTATCATTTCTAACGAATACAGGTAAGTATTTGTCTGGTTCGATGAACCCCATTGGTCATGCTTTCTGGGTCCGTGGGTCGAAGGACCTAACGTATTGCACTTGATGTTTTAGTTGTTGCACGTGGTTGTTTGTGTTCACTGGAATATTTGTTGCATAGTGAAAAAACTCACCGGAAAATGCGACGCTGTTTCATGAACTAAAACAGCAGAACGACAGCAGGTATTTTGTCTAGGGGTTGGGAAGATTCCTAATAATATCAAAGGAAACTTGACATTCCACTTGTAATCTTCCTCAGTGGCCGTCACAAGCTTCCAGTCGTCGTGGAACCTTTCTACTATTCTTTTAGCAATCGAGTGAATTTAGAGCTCCCCTCAAACCAAAAATTTTTCCAAGTTGTTCGAACAGTTCGCCTGCAAAGTAAACCCTAAAGTCAGTTGAAGTTGTTGCTCGGGCACCAAATTTCGCAATCCGGTGTTTACCTATAGTCTTGCATATTGAGGCTGTCATATATTTCAGTGAAACTGTCATGGACCATACCGTCAATTAGTTTACACGAATTGGTAAATTCGTATACCCAGTGGAAACTAGTAGTGGTTCAAGGATTTTCATATGATTGTGATCGAAACTAGCGTCAACTCAGGTGATATGAGTCATCTCCGGACGTTCGACTTTTGGCATTGGATACGTCCTCCAGCCCATTTTCACACATTTTTACGTTCAGCCATACAAACGTATCTAGGGAAAGCTTTGCCCTGGCTCTTATCAGCGGGTGAGTAATTTATTGCAATTTTTCAAGTGTTTCGCGTCATGTTATAAGGTACCCAGGGACGAATTTTTACTAGCTAAGGTTTCCGTATACAAACACCTTATCAGAATGAAGGCATACATGTACCTCTCTACATCGGTCCATTCAAACAGTCAGGTTAGATAAGGTTGTTCAATATCACCATTCCTTTTTAACCTTTTCATCAATTGCATTATGGACATAGCTTTGGTGGGTGTGGGTAATAGTGGTGAAGATCTGTTATCTAGGGAAAGGCTTTTCGACCCTATGTATGCAGACGATACTGTCTTACTGTACGATAGCACTCAAGTTATACCATCCTCACTTAATTGTTTGACGATCGGTCTGTCCGCGTGGCACGCTTGCTGCACTTTTAAGTGCAAGTAATGTTTAAAAGACTGACAGGAGCCCATGTCCACGGTCTTTCCTGGCATCGGGCAGTTGGAAGTCGTCAAGAAGCCATTGTATTTGAAGGACTTTTTGAGTAGAGGTGTTGGCGTGAATGATGAGATTAATCTACGTATAGTTCAGGCATGAGGTACCTGCGGCGATGTGAGCTATTCTCAGGGTCTTCGTGGGGTCGATCAGGTTGTAAAAAAGCAGTTATACCACTCATTAGTAAAGGCAGTTTTACTCTGCGCTTGTGAGACCTCCTTATGGTTCAGTACCGCCTAGCATGTTACATTTACTGCTTCTTTGATATCTTTCCGGTTGTTCGCCGTAGTTATATAGTCTACCTCGTGTAGATCTTGTGGGTCTTGGAAACTGCTGCTGAAAGATATCTTGGATTGGTTGAATTTACCAGTGTCTCAATGGAAGGCTGTATTGAACCTTTGTAAAGTATTTTCCACATCTGCTCAATGCTTGGCTTCAGTTTCATCTTGGTGACCGTCAGGTGGTGATCTAAAGCTATATCAGTTCCTCTCTTGAGTCTCACGTCTTCCGCTG